AAATAAATTAATTAATTATATGATCGCTATATAACCAAAGCAGTTGAACAGCGATCTTAAATAACGTTAAGAAAAAGTTCCTATAATGTTTCTCCCGCTGACGTCGAGTATTGTTTGGCACAGCGTCACGATGGTCCCGAAACTTCTCGTGGCGCTGGCGGCGCTGCTGCTGGCCGGAGCGGGCGCGGCGGACGACAGTTACCGCCTGCCGCTGGAGGTGCTGCCCCTCGCCTACGACGTGTCGCTGGTGCCGTTCCTCAACGACGCCGGCGACCGCGCCTTCACCTTCGACGGCGTCGTCGTCATCAAGGTGCAAGCGCAGCAGCCCGTGCCCGCCATCACCCTGCACGCCAAGGACGTCACCATCCAGGACGTTCAGGGTGAGTCAGAAGGCGGTGATTGCCACCCACATCTTCGCACTACTCTTGTCATAAATTCTTGGCTATCAGGGAGACGCCGCGTCGTTGGCTGAGAGGCCGATGTCGCAGGCTTCCGCAGGGCAGCCAAGAACTTATGGAATCATGCCGCGGAAGCTTACGTGTGCTACTCTTGTTATGTTTCATGTAGAATATGGTTGCGATCTCTACATTTTTCATATATCAGCAACGTTGTATGATCCATAACTTGACTCTTGTAGAATATTGGAACATGTGAATATTTCAAACTTATCAAAAACCTTGAAAGGTGCTAGAAGAGAATAATTAATTTGCCACTTTACGAAAGACATTAATCTATAATTACAATGATAAATAGTATTTTCTCTAAAGAAATGTAATAATAAAACGTATTTAATTAATAGGAAAAGTACGAATATTATTCTCAATCATTATAAATAATTATACGTTTTTAAGGCTACCTTGAAATTTTGTTTCATCCGAAATGTGTACATTTCCTAACATACCTTAAACATAGGTTAGATTGATACCCTTCCTAGGCTTCCTATTGGATTATTCGAATAGCCCAATTTGGCTAACAAAACCGAATCTTGGGAGCAAGAAAACGATCATTTACCGTATAAGTACCGGTGTAGGGCAGATATCGTATAGGTATAGTATTAGTTATATCTAGTTTTTTCCTATGAGTAATGAGTATATCCTACAAATAGAATGCAGTGATAAAAAATTGTTGGTTTTAAAGGTATTCAGTGTTAAAGAAAATAGTTTTACCGAATATTTGAGATTACAGTAAGCACTTCTTGTTGGTTTTCTATGGAGCGCGTACAAAATTCCGTTCCGACGGGGCAGTTGGTCTGATAATTGCCTCAGAAGTCGAGACGCTGAGCCTATTTCACAGAGTTTGGAACAGGCAGGAGTACAGGGCCCAACATTGCAATTCATACTTGTGTCACGAAGGATAGAGAAACACACGTGAATATTACATATCATAATTAGATAGTATTTTTTTCGAAGACATTGAAATTGAAACACGAGGCATGTAGCTTTTCATCTTACCATTATATTAATCAATATCATTGCATATTATTAAATAATTAAATAATGAAATCATTCATCATGAACCGTTAGAAAAATAATGATAATCACAGTCACAATTGTTTAATAAAATGTCATTATCGCTAAGGTCTTTATGTTTTTAAATTATATCACACTATTTTAACATTATCCTGCAGTGTCCGAACTCGAAGTGTTGAGCTACGACTTGGAAGTGAAGCGAGACTTCCTGACTCTCAACCTCAACAAGCCCTTGGCGGTGGGTGCTCTGTACGACATCACCATTCGCTACCAAGGAAACCTGCGCAACAACCTTGCTGGGTTCTACAGGAGCTCTTACAAGACGTCTGCTGGCGAAACAAGGTAAACATAGCGAACCGACCTGGGGGCAATGCTATTCTTAAATCAGAAACGTCTTTCGAGTTGGCAAAGTATTTGCAAGCCAATGCACTACCACGTGTCTATGGTTTTCCGTTGCAGATGGCTCGCCACGACCCAGTTTGAAGCGACGGACGCTCGCCGCGCTTTCCCCAGCTTCGATGAGCCAGCGCTCAAAGCCACTTTTGTCATCCGCATCGCCCCGCCAGTCGGTTTCAATGCCGTGTCCAACATGCCCGTCTCCTCCATCACCGGCCCTGAGTAAGTTATCATTTAATTAGATATTAGATTTTTTAGGTTTGCGCCACTCGAAAAATAATGAATATTATTTATTTTCAAACTAATACAAGTGGCTTGCAAGAGGCAGCGGTGCAGGGCAAAAGTTGGAGGCACCTGGCCACTGCCCATTTCCTACGCTTTTATTAGGGTACAAATATTAGGTATTTTTGACGTTCCTACAAGGAATTAAAAAATAATTCCTCACAGGAATTAAAAAAAACACATCATACTTATTCGTCATTATACATTATTTTTAAATGTTAAATCCTTGTAATATAAATTACTATAATATATTTTATATTGTAAGCTAGCAAAGTAGTAGTGTTAATGTGTATTATTGTGCAATATTCATTGTTGTAGGATGAATATTTATAATGTAGTGTTCTGTAAGAGGGGGAAAGTATTGAAATTAATAAGTAGGAATAAATTTGTTTAGAAGAATATATTGTGGGAATGCTCATGAGGTGTTGTTGATGTAATTAAATGATGAAATAATTGAAGTCATCTCCACCGACTTAATAAATTTATTTTAAGAGATAGCTTTCAACGGCTTTGCCGTCACCATCAGTCTTGCTGAATGTAGCAAAAGTTATGTATATATGAGCTCATGAAATTTATTAAGATGTAGGATAATTATGTACAAGTACACGTTGCGATATTACGTTGGCACCATGATCAGTCGCCAAAATTAGCTCTGATGCCCTCGCCTAGCAGGTTCAAATTATTTTAAGCTACAAGGAGAGCTGTCAAACGATTCGTATCAATACATTATGTGTGAAAGTGCCAGGATTGCCAACATTACAGGTGGTTGACGCAATCTGTGTTAAACACATGTGTTCAATAATATGCAAGTGGAATTTATTTATGTGTTATTCATGTAGACTTTTTTTGCATCTTGAAACTCTGAGGAAGATGCAAAAATATGAACGAGCCGTGCCGGTATTTTACTAAAGTATAACGTCACCTATATTAAAGAATTACGCGAATTTAATACTAATATAAATATGTGTTGTGAATAGAATAATACATAAAAAGTTGTACTATGTTTTAGCATAAATAGTTTAATAATGTAGCAGGACTGCTAAAATGTGCAAATATAAATATAAATAAAAAATATATATTCATAATAACTGCCCATATGTTTTGGAATTTAATTAGATAAATCAAAAAACTAAGTAATATATGATCATCAGTTGTTTTTTAAAATTATCACAATAAAATATTTATTTTCCAACCTTAGCTCCAGCACCGAGAACCGCTACTGGTACAACTTCGAGCGCTCCGTAAAGATGTCGACCTACTTGGTAGCATTCGTAGTGTCCGACTTCGCCTTCGTCGAGAACGGTCCTCACCGCATCCTTGGGCGCCCAGAAGCCATCGACACCTCGCGGTATCCTCTGGCAATTTCCCCCGAAGTTTTGAAAGTCATGGAGGATCTGACGGGAGTCAAATATGCCCTGCCCAAGATGGATCAGGTCGCTGTGCCAGATTTTTCTGCCGGTGCCATGGAGAACTGGGGTCTCGTTACTTACAGGTGAGCACATTGAGCTGAGTGTGTAGTGAATTTGTTATCGTAATGTAGATGAATAGATACTTGAAAGCTGACGATAAAATAATGAGAGGAATTGATGAAAATTATTATTTCACGAACAGGAATTATGTATTTTACTTGCTCAAAATAGAGATTAGATATTACGTAGTTTCTTTAAAATAATTACAAGTTGAAGAAAACCAAAACTCTGAAATCAATTAATACAGAAATAATGATAATGATAATAATAATAATGTTAACAATAACAACAATAATAATAACACAACTTAGGAGTCCGCCTTATTTAAAACTCTAAGTGTAGAAACCATCAACACGAAGCCTTGAGTGAGTGCTACAGATGGATAAGACAATACTCGCCATTCTTCATCCAACAGATTTAAGAAGAAAAAAATTAAGATAGCGGATTCAGCGGTTAACAGATTTCTGCTACACTCATTAAAATCGCGCATAGATCGGAAACATTGAAAGCTGGATTCTTAAAATCTTTTTTTGGTCCGGAGAAGTAGAGAAGATTTGTTTGGACAGATGGGGGAAATCAAGAGGAAGAGGCGGGGACACGTGGATCAAGAATAATGTTTCTTAAGCATTATTATACAAAATTATATATTTTTTTAAATTTTCTATCACAAGATTGGAGATAAATTCTCATGAACGCTATTGTCCAAATCCATTGTATGAGAAGTCAGAAAAATGTAAATACCCGAAATATTCATTAAAATTGAATTAAAGAGAAAAAAAAGAAATAATATCTCACGATTAAATTGAAAGGACTGTTCAATTTTCTGTGCAATTACGTCTTAACGAATAGCAACATTAGAATGGTTACTTTCGCACAGGCAGTGCAACGACTGGCCATTTGAAGTTGGGTTCAACTATGAAGTAATTTTCACTTTTGAAACAATTAATTACGAAGTGTGGTGTTTTCTCGGTTTGAGATCATATTAAATATTTCATGAAGTCTACAAGTCAATCTCAATGCTATTTGCAGCGACCAACTCGGGATATTATGTATCATTGTTGACAATGTGAGAAAATTTCAAAATCATGTTTCCAGTTCAGAGTTAATTTGAAAAAAGAAAAATTTATTTCAATCAAGAACAACCTATTTTATATACTTTTGATTAGGCAAATAGCGTTAGCGCCATCATTAAGGTAAATTAGGTGCAGGCTCTACTAATAGTTTCCTTCTATGCCCCTAATTGTGCTGATAAGCTTTTGATATGATGCCATGGTTGCGTGAGGCATTTCACTGCTACCTGAAGGACGTCTTGACATCATTGCTCTAGCATGTGTGAATTGTTTAAAAACTGAGTTAATCTCAACCATTCTCTACAATTTACAGGCAGGCCTATCTTCTTTTGGATGTCGATTCTGTAAGCCGCCGTCGCTCAGCCGCCACTGTCATAGCTCATGAGTTTGCTCATCAGTGGTTTGGAAACTTGGTGAGCCCTGACTGGTGGACCTTCACTTGGCTCAATGAAGCCTTTGCCTCCTTCTTCGAATATTTCGACACCAATCAGGTAAGTCCACAACTTCAATAAAGAACAGTAACTATCCGTTATGACCTGATGATTGAAGTTCCCATTTCTTTGAAGAACCATTTTGATGAAAAGTAGCTCATTTTAAAAATTCGAAACACGGCATGATTTTGACTGAAATTTATTGCTTGAGTGAAAATTTAATTAATATGCAACGTATATGTAATTAATATGCAACTACCAAAGCACAATCATCCTGGCTTTTGGAAGAGCAAAATGTTTTTGAATACAAGCATGTGAGCAGTAATATTAGAAATTGCATTAGTATTACCTTAGTGTGGTAGTATTTTCATGATGAAAATTGTTATTTGTGCTAAGTAAGTTTGTTGATAATAATAACATTCAGAGTCAATACAATGACCTGGGTTTCTCATTCTTGAGCATACAAATGTACATATGAATTATAGATAAAAATACTTTCCTAAATGTTAGTTTCATTACAATACAATGGTAAATTACCATCATTCTGATAGAACAAATTCTAAATATAAAAAATAAAAAAAATAATAAAAAATGTAAATATAAAAAAAATTAGGGACCCCAAATCTACCATATTAACTTCAGTTCTTTGTTGAAGAAAATATTTTAATTATGCACTTAGGTCGAACCAGATTGGGACCTTCTTTCCTCCATGGTGACAAGTATGCAGCACAGCGTCCTGAGGACTGATGCCAGATCGACCACTCACCCCATAACCCGCTACGTAGAAACGCCCTCACAAATCTCCTCGTCGTTCGATACTATCACCTACTCGAAGGGTAAACACATGTTCCTAATATTTGAAACAGTGCTTTAAAACTGTTGCCACTTGCAAGCCAGCTGGCAAAATATTTATTAAGTATACTCCAAATGAGCATTAGGCATTATATAAAATACAATACAAAGACTTATTTCATTATTCGCCATCGACTACGTAATTTATGCTTCCAAAAATGAACATTGAGTTTCAGGTAACTGAATTGATATTTCTATTCCATTCCAGGGGGCTCGCTCATTAAAATGATCTATCACTTCTTGACTGAACCAACTTTCTACAAGGGCCTCAATATCTATTTGAACAGGAAGTAAGTACATTCATTATAATTTATCCATTATCCATAATTTATCCAATAAATCAACATAAGATCTTGTGTAAATACATTTTCTTTATTCCGATATACTTGAAATATAGACTATCATTAGTTAATTCTTAAGTGTCAAAGATTTCTTGGCACCGTGACAATAATTTATTTTATCACCATTTATTTTATCTTCAATAGATTTCCAAAGACAATTTTTGATTCACAGAATTTAGCTCGCGAATCAGCAATTTGCCATGCAATGTAGGCGATTCGAACATATATGGTCGAAAATGACGCAATGAACATTTTCTTCTAAGCGGACTTTCTCTTCCCGTTTCCCCTGCCAATTAATATTCTACTTTTGCTCCATGATTATATATATATTGATCCATGGTGTAGAATTTTCACCTTTAGCTACATAACTTAGTGGAATTCAGCCGCGATTTGGAGATGCTCCCAAGCGGCCAAGTGCTCCCATGGATAGTTTTTCGTGGTTTCTCCCTTCAACACCTGGCGAATTCCGAAGCAATCTAACAAATGGGCCACGGACCGCGCGCCGATCTTCTTGCCATTTCTTGGTCATATCCTGTTCCTTTACGTCCACACATTTTCAGACACTACACAACCACACTTGTCGGGAGACCAGTCGAGAGCTGAGAACATTTCTCAGTACGGTCGCTGCCACACAGGAGGAAATACTTGGAGGGGGAAATCCTCGTAAGCTGACGTATTGGTCGGTTCTGGATCTCTTTGGATGTGAAAGAGTATTGCACGACATCTCTTGCTTATTGAGGGAGGATTGCCCCCACTTCGTAGAATAACACATTCAGTACACTTCCGGAACTAATGACCATAGGTGTTAATGTATCCGGAATCAAGTAATCAATTAATGATCTTACAGAGACTCATATATTCATTGTTATTTTGTGCTATCATTCAGCCCAGAGTGACATACTCTGCTCTGCCACACCCACTGTTCTTAGAATGAAAAATGTCGTGATTTTGTAGATGTATATCTAACTAAGCAAGTTGAATTTCTCCAATTCTTCAAGAAGCCTCATGAATTTCCCAAATGCGATAATGATGTTTTGTAAAAAAAAAATATCAAGAATTTGACTACAGTTGAATGGTAATAAAAATGTTTATTTGAATTTGAAATGTCTTGTGCTTGTATTCGTATTGCGAACCATTCCTTGCTGTTTTCCAGGGCGTACGGCGCGGCCGTGGCGGACGACCTGTTCCAAGCCTGGCAAGAGGCGGCGGACGAGGACGGCGTGTTGCCCGCCGACCTCACCGTCAAGCAGATCTTGGACACGTGGACCCTGCAGGCGGGCTACCCGGTGCTGACGGTGCAGCGCAGACTCGCGCCTGGCACCGGCCAACCATCTCGCAGCGCGCTTCTTCACCAGCGGAGCGGGGCGACGAGAGCTGGTGGGTGCCCGTGTCCTACACCACGCGCGGCGACGCCGACTTCAACGCACGGCGCCGCGCGCGAGTGGCTGGCGCCGGGAGCCTCGCTCACGCTGCAGGGGCTGCCGGCCGACGACTGGCTCGTCCTCAACGTGCAGGACGCCGGTGAGGGGCTGCTCCGTCCACAAGGACCGCAATTGCGACTTTTTTTGTTTTGCTGGCCACGCATCTTATAGTAAACCCTTCAAACATAACCTCACTAATTTTTAAACAGTTCAAAAAAATGTTTAAAAATTATTAGTGCTTCTTATATAAACACGTAGTGCTTTTGACAGTTACAACAGCTCGGGACAAAAATAGTAATATACCATGTACGGGTCATTTTTAGTAATGGGCTCCCAACCCATAGACGACTTGCCCTCGGCTCAACTTGGCCCTTTGAAACTAGGAGAGAAAAATGCCAGGACAGTGACAGGTGATAATAATGGATCACTGAGGAACATCCTGCACATTAGTTCTGGGATCTGCGTATTAGTTCCCACGCGATACAAAGTCGAGATACCCGGAATGTGCTCTTGAGACCGCAGGTGACCATGGTGAACTCACTGTCCATAACGTTTCTTCTAAATGTAAACACAATCCCTTCAATATTTGACTTTCCGCGTTTCGTCTTACAAAATCCATCATTCAACACGACAGGAGCTGCGTGTTACAAGTGTTAAGACTTTTTCTGTGTTTGTAAACAACATCAACATTAATAGAAACCTGCGTTCGCTAGCTTTAATATTGGAAATATTTGTATAGTGGGGGCTCCAATTCTGACACTAAATAGGCTTTTAACACACTTTTAACAATTTTTGCGAAAAGTGTTCAAACAGGCAAATGATTTACGGTTAACGTATAACGGATTATCTGATTTCGGCATCAAAACATTTTGCTCAAACAACGTGTCCAAGAAAGTTGGGGAAGTAGGAAGGAGGTCAAAAATGCAGACATTGTCGCCTAGCTTAGTATTAAAAGATGTATTTCCATTAATTCTGAAAAAAAAAAAAAAATAAAAAAAAAATTAGAAGGAAGTTCTATACAATTTGGGAGCCATAACCTAACATTTTGCATGAAATGCAGCTTACAATTTTAATGAAAATATACTTCCAAAAATTATCTCAAATTTCTCATTCCGAAAATTCTCTCAATTTTGTAATTCACGCCGCAATAACTGACGACTTGAATATTAACAGAGCGAAGGCCACGGCACTGAAGTTGAGATTTCAGCCACATGAACCGCATCACAGTTGTGTCGTGTTCGCAGGTTTCTACCGCGTGAACTACGACGAGCAGAACTGGGAGCTGCTGCTGACGGCCCTGGAGCAGCCCCGACTACGACGGCATCCACCCCTGAACCGCGCGCAGCTGCTGGATCGACCTGTCCGCAGCTAGGCCTCCTGCGCGCAGACCACGCGCTGAGGGCGCTGCGCGCGCTGCGCCAACGAGCCCGTTGCGCGCCCGTCTGGCGCACCATGCTGCGCTACGTGGCCAGCTCTACGACCGCCTTGCCAACTCCGACTACCTTCCCGGACCTCCAGGTAAACCAATGGTTGGACCGTATCGTTCTTTCCTTTTTTTAATGACAGCCGGTTCCCTTCACGTCCCCTGATGGAACGCATATTTACCAGCCGGTTACCATTACGTCCCTACGCAACGCCACACACTAGACACCAACACACTCTTCTGATCTGGGTAAGCTGAATGCAAGGCCCTCCGCGACAACACATACAAGGGACAAGGGACAAACGACGATGCCCAAGGCGAGACTCGAACCCGCGACCCTTTGGACCGCGGCACGCTCTTAGCCCCCTCGGACAACCAGGGCGGCGGATTAACTTTATACTTCGATTTATTTGTAGTGGCACTTGACGTAAGTCAACTGTTACGGTGTCATCCAATCGGGAGCTTAGACGTCACCATGGTGATCATCAATCTCCCGATTGGATGACACCGGAAGAGCTGATTAAACGTCAAGTATTATTACAGATAATTCGAAGTATACAAAGAGATTTTACACACCGTAACGTAAAACGTTTGAGGTTAACACATGATCTGCGTCATGGAAAGTGTAAAGAGTTTTGATTTCCAAACTCTACAATCAGAATATTCGACCAGCCACTAGACACCAACACACTTGCGGGCTCCTCTGACCTGGGGTCAGCAGAACGCGAGGCCCTCCGTGACAACACATACATGAGCGACTAGGGACAAACGACCATGCCCAAGGCGGGTTCGAACCCGCCACCCTTTGAACCCAAGCGCTGAGTCGGTACGCCCTCTTAGACCACTCGGCCTTCCAAGGCCGCGGATTGACTTTATATTTCCATTTATTTGTAGTGGCACTTGCCCTAAGTCAGCTGTTACGGTGTCATCCAATCGGGGGCTTAGACGTCACCATGGTGACGATCAAGCTCCCGATTGGATGACACCGGAAGAGCTGATTAAACGTCAAGTATTATTATAGATATTTCGAAGTATACAAGAGATTTTACACACCGTAACGTGAAAAGTATGAGGTTACCATGCAATCTGTATCATGGAGAGTGTAAATAGTTTTGAGCATTTGATTTCAAAACTCTACAATCAGAATGTTTAATTTAAATCACACAATTAGTGCTTAAAACCACCAAATGGTCTTGCAGATTTACATTGTACGATTACATGATTACTGTAAATTTATTTTCATCCACGTTTATCTGTTTTTTCCCTTCAAATAAGTTGTTTTCAGAAAAGCTGAAAAATTTTCAAGTTGATTGGTAGTTTACATGTTTGGGAATTTTAATGTAATCCTGCATTCACGTGTTCTTTAAATCTGTTAACAACATCAAAAGAGAAAGTGAAATCATAGTATTTTAGATTGTTAAAATATGTAACAAAATAATTTGAGCAAGGTACAAGGTCTGTGACATAAATAACAAACGACGTACTCTAAGAAGAACCCCGTAACAGAATGGATGAATCAAATTTAGTAATTACCTTACATTTAATATCATATTAAATTTTTGTGAAGAATAATAGGAGTACGTGAAATTAATGACAAACAAATGTAGTATGTGTCATTGAGTTAACATAAAAGAGGATTAGACATGATTGGTTATTCTCTTTTAGGGAGCGTTCGCTAATATGGTGGAAGGCTGGGCCCGCAGCAGATCTGTTGTCATCGAACCCGAAGATGAGGAGGTCCAGAACTGGGCGTATGCACTGAGCGACACTTTCGCTCCCATGCTTCGCAATCAAAACGATCTGTAAGTACTGTACATCGAGTGTATATTCTGCAGGGACATCTATAGAGCCATTATAAATTAGAAGAGCAGAACTTGTATTTTCTGGTCGCTATTTAGTTAGCAACTATTTTTGGGATTAATAAAATTTTTAAACTTTCACGAAGCACGCAAAATAAGACTAATTTTGTAGAGAGTGCATTCGAGACACTGCCTAAAGGGATCGTTACTGAGTAATTACTGTGGAAAAGTAATCATATTAACAAAATATTTTTCCAACATTTCTGAGACAACATGAAAGAACAACATTCATACGCTTACTGATTGATGTCGTTATTCCAGGAATTAAATACAGTCGGACCCCCATATATCGAGTCTGATATATAGAAAGTTTATTACATAGAAATAATTGTGATATTTTTGCATAAGCTTTTAAACAATTGCAAAAAATGAGCAAAATGGAAAATTCAACAATAAAAATTAACAAACAAACAAAAAAATCGTACCACATATTTATGAATAGTAACAAAACATCAGTATTGACTACGTTCCTGACAACTACTATATGTAGTACATGATGATGTACTCCGTTCAAAAGAATTGTTTATCCACTGAACACGTCGTCTGGAACATTTTCTCTCAACTGAACCTGTGCTGAACTGACGATCTGACCAGAGGGGCCATTAGACGAAGGAGAACGCTATTGACCTTCAGATCGCTTTAGAGTAAGCATTCCCAAAATCCACGGAGAGCAAAGGCCTTATAATTTCTCCAGTAGAAATGCCCTTCTTCCAAATTACACAATACTCCTTTTTAGAAAATTTATACAATGCACTGTACATTTTTATTTCACAGAAAAAAAATAGTGAAGTAAGAAAATGAGTTCGATATATAGAAACAGAATTTAAGCATAATTTTCAAGAAACCGAAAAAAAAACTATTTATATATAATTTCGATATATAGATGTTTGATATGTGGAGGTCCGACTGTATAACATTTTTAGAAATGTAAACTGACCTACTTCCTCTTTCGCAAAACGTTAACTGTTGTCTGGCACGTCGCTGCTGCAGCACCTCCTCGCCGGCCGTGCTGTGCGCAGCGGTGCGTTCCACGGAGGCCGGGTACACCGTGGCGTGGCGCCACTACCAGACCGCCGCCACCAAGGCCGACCGCCGCGCCGCCCTGGCGGCGCTGGGCTGCGCTCGCGACGCGCAGCGCCTCCTGGCAGCGGCGGTGGCCGACGAGGCCGACGCCGAGCGAGTGCTGGAGGACGACCGCTTGGCGGCACTGGCGGCGCCCTGCGGCTCCGAGACCCGCGAAGCCGTGGGCGGCGGCGGCGCGCGCGCATGCGCACAGGCCGTGGACTTCCTCGGCAAGAACGCCGGCCGCAGGGATGTGTAAGTTCCGAGCTCAGCCCTTTCGCACTCAGCGGGAGGGCAGCTGAAGCAATTTGCTCCAGACCCCGACTTGATTGGTCCTTTTCCCATAAAAAAAATAATATATGTACTTCCAATTCAAATTAATCGCGATAGCATTTCTATTGGGGTATTCTATTCGTATATATTGGGGAGGGGTACCACAGGCTTCTTGTTTTCTCTGGGCATCTCTGTTTGTATTGTCTCCTTGTCGTTTGTACGTACATCGGAGTTTTTTATTTAGCTGAACTGCAAAACCCAGATGAAATTAAGAAATATTCTTAATGTGTATTATATTAACGAAAATGATGAAGAAACGGTGAATGAATTCAATTGCTAGTGGATTTTGCCATTTATTAAGCAAATTATTTCTAAATACAAAGATTACATTGCTGTTATAACTGTATTTTGAATTGAACTATTTATTAATTAGCAAACTCCTCTCACAATTGTGTTAATTCACCCATGAAGACATGAATATCAAGAACATTTGTTTATTACAGCATGTACTTTCAGAAATGCTACCGGCAATTTCTTTAGGCTGCGGAGAAAGAGATCAGTAGAGAGGATGGTCAATCTTAAATTTGAGTAAAATCTCAAGGAATGATATACCGGGAGAGACGGCTCAAGGCAGCAACTGAGGTCATTGTCCGGCAGCCCCTAGATTCAAATCCCGACGGTGGCAAGACTTTCAACACTAGCTTGTCAGCTAGCTCGAATTTAGTCGTTGTCGGGAGGAGAACTCTAGAGACTTGCTGCTTTGATTGGATGTTTGCATGGTTTCTCCGATGAACACCAACCGAATGCCGGAGTGGTACCCTAACAAACAGGCCACGGACCGCGCGAGATCTTCCCTACCTCTTTCTTATTCTATCCTGACTTCTTACACTAAAGTTTTTTAGTATTATTTCGTATCATCATTTGATTAATGCAATTTTATTAATGAGCTTTATTATTACTGTATGTTTCGTGACGGGCATTCTATCATTACAAGGTTGCATTTAACCCTGTAACTATTTTATCAAAAGACATTATAAAACATCAAACACAAATATTATTGTATTAATATTGCTCCGGATCTTGAATCTCGTCATCGTTCAAACTTACGTTCATTTACAAACTTTAAAAATTGTCTACTTTTAGTTGATGCAAGTATAAGAATCATAGAGCGGTTGGTTGAATGTTGCAGCTTTGCTGATGTGGATGATCTTCTGAGCGTTTTCCGTCGTCTTGCAGCGCGCGTCCGTACAGAAGAACAATACCAATTGGTAAGAAAAATCTTAGATAAACAAATTCTTTATTGGATTCTACAATTTAGAGCATTTTGTATTACCAAGAAATATATCGAACAATATTTAAGGTATAAGCACTGCATTTAGTTTAATTTTTTCCAAATTAATTTCGAACTATTCACCGCATTAAATCTTTTTTTTTTCAGTAATATTGCACAGAAAATTATTTATTTTTCTAATTAATTCTCGTTGCTCAAAAATAGTAAGCCCAAATATTTGAACAATATTCTGGTAGCGTATAATAAGAAATTTAAAATTAATATTGCAATACTAAAGTGTGAATACAAGCAAAAATGATACATTGGACACTAAGGTAGTGTACGGAAATGTAAGGAAAAACTTCTATTATGCTTTTGAAAGCCGCTTAGATTCCCATCCGTTATTATTTATGCATTATGGGATCTTTTACGAAATATCTAAAATTTTTCTGGATTGTACGAACGTGTTCAAAGAACTTTCTTGTGAACTCTTTACATAATTGCATATTCAAACATTAAGTTTCCTTGGAATGCATCATTAAAAGATTTTCTGTAGCTGTTTGTGCATAGTATAGTTTCCATTCCTGTTGGTTCTACTGTCACCATAAAACGAGCGCTGTGAGCAAACCGAGAATGAGATGTATATCGCTTGCAGTTGGAGCTGGCAGCTTCGAGAATCGAGAAGGAGCGGCCGCTGCCCATTGGCTCCGAGGCGCTGAGCGCAGCGCTGGAGACTGCACATGAGCAGGTGGCGTGGGCGTCGGGCGCCGAGGGCAAGCCCGTCGTCTCCTGGCTGCGCAGCCACCAGGCCGGAGGCCGCGGCGTCCTGACAGAGGAAGAGCGATAGACGGCTACCCTACGGCGTTCTTCGACACACCGAAAATACAATGTTTCTCTGTTCAATTTATTGCCGGATTAAGAGTTCACAGACTGTTATTTAATGATAAATTTCAAGGAATTACAAACATGATTTTGTTATTTTTTTCATAATTATTGTAAAGACGACTCATTTTAAAATGAATTAACAATGTGATTATTCCTATTGCATTATTGTATATAAAATGAAAAGCCTTTTCTGCAGTCGCAGAACTCTTGAAATAAAACCAATTTCAGTAAATTCATCAGTAGCAATTTTTTGTAAATATATTGTTTTTATTGAAATTAATTCCTTATCTTAGATATGGTGTACTCCACAATCAAATTTCAGACGTAAACATAAAGAAGCCGGATACATACAGAAAACATCAAACTTCATACGTAAACATACAGAAACATACGGATATTTCAACTCAATTTCAACTGCCCACTTCACGACGCCAAACGCTATACTTATGGCATTCATTGTCATTCGTCATGAGATACAGTGTTGGTCAAATCTAGTTGCGAAATACCTGGACTATGTATGGGCGAATCAATTTTATGTAATTTAATACATCTTTGAGATAATTTTTGTTATCATTCGAGAAGAGGGAAACAGCCTATTCTGTTGCATATGTTTACATTTTGTACCGGATGTTTACATCAGGTGACCGGATGTGGTTAATCCATGTCAACATCCGGTGGTGTGACATCCCAAGTGCGTCCCTGTGACGTCGCAGGGTCGTTGGCCAGGTCGTCCTTGTCATTTCACAAGGCCGTTCGGCTCCCATCAGCTGTGGTCCACCTCACGCTGCAGATGCTCTCCTCCCCCGCCCAGTCATGTCTACCAACCTAAGAGGGAATAATCTGATCGAGTAGGGGTGGAAGAGTCTGAGTGGGGTCCCTGGTTGGTGGTAGCGTAGAGGTAATAAGAAAAAAAATGAATGCTGTCCGAAATCATATAATTTTTATATTTTTAATACAATATAATATTTTTCAATCACAGTCATACAAAATGAAAAATTCTAGTTTTTTTGTGGGACACGTTTCCGGAACAAAGTGACACTCTTCCACTTCCTCGGGACTGACGGTTGGCAATGGAAGAGCCGCGAGATCTCGGCGGATGTAGACAAGACGTTTCTCCAGTCCCGTCCTCTGCGTAGGATCTTTAAAAAGAGGAATGAGAATTTCAATGATTTGTAGTGCTTCCGTTTGCAAGGAAACACCAATATAACAATAGTATTTTTCTTCCACTTCTTCTTCTGCTTTTCGTGAAGACGTCGCGTATTGCTCGTAACATTCCACCCGAGGTCGGAGATATTCCACAATTAGACGGCTTTTCCAATATCGCGCTCTTCGGAGGAGGCGGCGGTGGGGTCACCGGCGGCTTTCGCAGCCTTTTACACATGTCGGCCGCTTTCTCTTCCCATCCGCTGCTGTTGTCCTCGAGGCCGTCTTCACAGGCGAGCGTGACGACGGTGACGATCGCTCTGGTCTTGGCATGATGACGGACGCGGACTGAATGAAGAGTGAGAGGCATGGCATTTCTCTTTACAAGGAACAGTCTGCCGGTTTATAGGTGGTCTGAATCACTTGCCGAATGATACCATGGCGCTGCTGCAGAGATGCCCTTTGAACCGGATCTTTAAGTTGATGACAGTTTCCACGATTGCTAGCACTTCAGCATGCATGAAAACGGCAATGTCGTGAATAGTCTTTTCATTTTCACTGTCGTGGAGACGCCGCGCGTCGATGGCAACTCCAGTCACCATGTCGGATTCCTACCCACATCTTAACGATTTTCACCATCTTCCTTTTCCTCGGAGGCGGCGACGACGAGGTCAACAGCGACGTTCTCGAGTTTTTTTCCTCATCTTGGCTGCCTCACTCTCCCATCCGCTGTCGTCGGCGATGTTTTCACAAACGAATGTCGTGTCACGTCGCGCCGTGATGACGGATGCTGACTGACTCAATGAAATTATCGACAAAATCATGTTATTGCAAATGCTTCCCCCCTACCAGTACTTCTTTTTCCCCACTCTTTCCTCTCTCCCTCTCTCTTTAAAGCCTGAATGTTTGAAAGCTGCCATTTTTTCTTAATGAAGAGCCCCCTTCGCCCGAGATACGGTCACCTGAGAGGGGGTGAGGAAGGAGTACATCTTCGGCCGTAAACCTACAAATTTAATCATGGGATCATTTCTGCATTTGTCCTTTTACAGTCCCAGTACCTTTTTGTTGCGTGGTGTGATGTAGAAATTATTATTGGGAGGAAGACAGGATGTGTCGAACCATTCTGAACATCAATTCATCTCAGCGTACACGTTCGTTGAGAAAGAGAAAACGAATGAATCGGTGTCCATGTATAGGAGGTGAAGATCGTGAAGCTCCTCTTTGTAATACATATAAAGGAACTCATACATTCTAAATTTTGAAATTTCTAAACTGCAAAAATCTAAATAAATGGGCTTCGAGAGCTTCCCTTCCGTTTTCTTCAACTCGATGGTCATGAGATCTCCTCTCTCGTGGAGACATCACACGAATGCGAGGTCTGCGATGAGGCGCCGCGCTCCACACTTCCTCCACCATCTGTTCACGAGATAAATGCAACGAGGATTGCGCACGTCTTCTATCGACTTTTCGTAAACGGAGTTCATGAGTTAAAAAAAATATCTTCAAAATCGGAAGACGCGCGTTGTCGACGTGAATTGTTAAGGTCCATGTAGGTGGCAAGCCAAAGACTCTGGTCGAAAGAGAGAACGCGGTGAATTTTGCTCAGTTGTATCCCCAACTAGTTATCGAAAGAAATGTTTTGTTTCCTTCTATAAGTAAAGATTCTGAAATCATATGCTTCTTGTGAGGTTCCGTAGCTAAAATAGTTTTTATAATAACATTGATCTTGGTATTCCATTCTACTTCTAGATATAGAATTACAGTGATCTGTACCTTTTTACTTTCTCGCTACTGCTTACGCAGTATAGGGTAAGTTGTGTATGCTGCGGGAAAAACGACGAATTTTCGGCAGAAAAACTCTTTTTGTTGGACCCTGGTAAAGAAGAAGTGGGCAAATTCAGTTTCTAAATATAAACAAAATTGATATTACTTGGCGTAGCTAGAATTTATAATTTGTGGGTATTTAATACCGAAAAATCGATCTGCACGTACGTTTGTGAACAAAGCTAGCAAAATCGTTCAGCCGATTTTCTCCAAAACTGAAATTCCTCAATCGAAATGTTTATGTCGCGACCCCTTAAATTTGAAACCAATATTTTAATTTTTTTGAGGGTGGGTACTTAACATGAAGCTCTCGGTTTCAAAATTTTCAAAAATGTCGTCAAGGTTGTTGTTGGATTATTGCAATGGGTATTTGAGAGTATGGCGTATGTTTCATTTTCGCAAAAAATCCTGAATTTTTGGAAGTTTCAAAAGTTTAATTTTTTGTTGACAAATGTTTGAAACAATGAACGTTGACGAAAAAATTAAAACAAAAAATATAATGTTTTTGACAGTAGAGGGTTGTGGGTGATGGAACGGAGCCCAAGAAACCTTTCAAAAATATAATTTCTAATTATTCTCATACACGTTGCTCCTTTGTTTCTGGCGCGCCAATCCTTCGATTCTTTTCACACAATCTATTTCCTGATTGGTCACACACATTTCAACGTATTATCCGTTAATTTTTTGGTTTCCTGCTCGTAATAGCTTCTTAATTTATGTTATATCCCTCGGAATTTGCTCACAGTGACCTTTCATTGTCTTATTTGTTAACATATTATGTATTTTTCTCGACTATTAATTCTGTTGTCCTTTCCTCGTATAGTTCCCAAAATAATGGATACCTCGGTTTCTTTCCTATACCCACAATGTATCTGTCGTACATATTTATAGTTTCGTAAATTTCTTATTTCTATTTAATTACTCTTGTGATAAACCATCACAGTAGTCCATGGTTTCTATAAGCTCTACCAGGGACAGCGATTGGTGATAAGTCCAAGTGAGTAGTTGGTCCGGGTGGAGTTCTCCCTCCGCCTCCCCCCTCCCCTACCAAAAATATATATGAAGGGAAAAATACAACCTTTTTTCGAAATTGCCATGCTTGTCATTAAATGGTTATCACATTTAAGTAACTTCAGCAGTTTATTTTTGAAATGCAATTAACAATTTTAATTGCTTTTAACAATTTTTGCAAATCGATTTTGTCGATCATGTCGCTTTAAAAATGTAGAATCAAATGCAATATTGTTGAGACGATCTTGCAACATAGTTGATCGCATATCCTTTTTGAGTTTTCGCATTACTAATAAACTTCGTTCGTTTCTGGAATTTGACGCTTGTGAAATATTTATCTCACCCCAAATTCGTTTATTTCTAGAATTTGACGTTTATGAAATATTTCTCTCACCTAAAATTCGTTCCTTTCTGGAATTTGACGTTTATGGAATATTTCTCTCACTTAAAATTCGTTCCTTTCTGGAATTTGACGTTTATGTAATATTTCTCTCACCCCAAATTTTACCTTTTGGAAATTTATTCGTGCGGGTATAGCTACTCGCCACACCCACATTATCCGCCCGGTCTGAGTGCCACTACTAATAAAATGTATTCTTGCATTTGTGGTGGGAGTTTGGGAAGATCCGCAAGGGCACGGAGGCCGCCAGGCCCCTCAAGGCCTTCGTCGCTTTTTAACACACGAGGCACTTCAGCGCCGACGGAGCGAAGCAAGGTGTTTTAGAGAAGCGTGTGGCTGCTGGAAGTCGCGATTCGGAGATGTGATAATGAAGATTCGTTCAACATAATCGTTTGCTGGTAAATAATTCGCGTCTTTTTCTAATGGTTCTCCGATTCGAAATCTGTATCTGCCGAGAAGTTCTTCTAGATTGTGCCGTGTATTCAAGAACGTCATCACTTACGGTAATGTAAATATTTTTAAACTGGTGATGGTTCTTAACATGAAGCTCCCGGAACATTTTCAACATTTTCAAAAAATAGCAT